GCCCTATTCGTTCAGCCAGTCACAGTGTCTCCAATCACCACTACATTAGGCTAGTCCCAGTGTCACCAGAAGGATTTATCCACATGTGCAGTGTTCTCTGAAGAATGATCTGCGTTCAGAGAGCATTGCATTGCCTCCTCCCCATTTGCTTTAACCCTTTGAACCCTGCAATAGCATGCTGCATTGCATGCAATTATGGAGAGTAGAGAACTGCAGCTCAACCACCTGGTTTTACTGCCCCCAGCTGCACTTGTGAACATGCCCTTACACTTACTTTTGATCAGATTCAATCAAATCAAATTGGCCAGGTTGGAAAATTGACTGTTTTGCATTGACTGGCAGCACAGAGATACTATGTTTAACAATGTGATCGTATTTCAATCAATCAGATTATTAGATTATATGGTGGGACCCAGGGGCGGACCGTCAACTCATGGGGCCCCCGAGCAATAGGGGATCATGGGGCCCCGTGTCCTTGGCCAAACTCAAAAAAGCCTATAAAAAAAAAGGTACCAGGGGCGTCTCATGGGGCCCCCTACTGACCCCGGGCCCTCGGGCAGTGCCCGAGTTTTCAAATGGTCAGTCCACCCCTGGTGGGACCACAGATGTGATCAATCACTTATGGTCGTACATTACGATCATATCTTAACTATCAATCGAAATTCACTTTCCAGTTTGTGGCATATTGATCGAATGTGCTGTTGACTATAGATTGATTATTCCTACTGGAAGAGATCGATTGAAGAAGATATTGATATTGATCAAGTGTGTATGGCCACTAGAGAGGCAGAGACTTCCCAATTACAAGACCACTGTTACGTTGGCTTGGTTACATTTATTTGTTAATTTCCTCTAGCCTTCCCTAGGATTGTTACATTGTATCTCTTGTATTTCCTATACTCCTCAGCTCCATCGAATGGCTATAATCAGGGGTGTATTTACCACAAGGCAAACACGGCACTTGCCTAGGGTGGCATTTTTCAGGGGTGGCAACATCCCCTCAGAAGAAGGGATGAAAGAAGGGACATGTACACCTTGGAAACTAGGTGGGATCTGAGAGAGGATGTGGACTGCTTGATGGTGTATGTAGAGTCTGGCTCTCATTCCCGGGGATGTCCGGAGCTGTGAAGATGAGTGTCTCTCTGTTGCTGGGGGGGGTAATAGAAGGCTCTCCCCCGGGTGGGGGGCAGGGATGTTTTTGGTCAATGTCAGGCTCTCTCTGTGGAATAGGGAAGGGGAGGTTGTGTTGGTCGGTGCCGTTGGGGCAGACAATTTTTGTGTTGCCTAGGGCAGTACAAAACCTAAATACATCACTGCCTATAATGTGGTATTTTACTACAACAAATAATAAAAGAGCATTCATTCAGAAGCAAAAATAGCCTAAACAACATTCGCTTTTGCCCAGTTCCATAAAACAAGTGTACATGCAGATTTGATGGACAAATGGCTACTCCAAAGACATGCTGGTAGGTGAGTTGGATCCTGTCTAAATTGTCCCTAGTATGTGTATGTATGAATGTGAGTTAGGGACCTTAGATTGTACACCCCTTGAGGGACTGATGTGAATGTACAATATATATCTAAAGCTCTGTGTAAATTGCCGGCGCTATATAAGTACCTGAAATAAATAAATAACATAAATGTGATTTCAAAAAGAAAAAAATACACCAGAGATGGTCAGTGTACTTTGCACTGACTGCATTGCCCCTTGCTGTGTTTCATTGGACACACCTGAAGAAGGTCTATGATTTCTGCTACAGAAAAAGGTCCCGTTACATTCAGAAGAGGAAATCGGATCCGGATTAATACATAATTGTGGGTTGCGTTGTCTGATAGGATAGAGGAAGGACATGGAGATTAATCTTACCTTCCTCTTCTTTGACCTTCCCTCTGACTGTAATGTCCTAGTGCATTGCTCTACACATTCAGAAAAACTCAGGTTACTGTGATCGGCGCTGTAGTCCAGGTCTGCCAGTGTTGCCAGGGACAGGATATAGTTACACGCTATTCTCAAGATGGCCAACTTAGACAGCTTCTGTCCATAGGAATAACAAGGCACCTACGAAGGAAGAAGAGGATATGTTACGTATGGTAAGAAAACGCAACAGAGATGACGTTCCATTTTTAAAAAAATAAAGTATATGTAAACCCTCACCTTGTAAAACAACCCATTCAGTGTGAAATAGAAATGCAAGGTAAAACATTTGTGTACACAGGGCTTTTTTTCTCAGAGTCACTCCTTTTCTTCGCCGATACCCACCCCATCCCTTAGCTCCAGCCCTCACCCACCTACCAGTACCACCCCTTTTAGAGAATACATAATCAAGTATCATTTTGTGGTGCTCAGTAACTTGTGTGGAATTTGTTGATGATAACAAGAAAGGCAGTTAACTTAGATCCCCTGCAGCCAGCAACAATAGACCCCCACACCAGCAATAGATCACCCCCAAAAACAAAAGATTCCTGAGCAACATTCAATCCCTTAGCCACAATAGATGCCCTCACAACAAAATACCCCCCAGCAAAAACAGATCCACCCCAGACACAATAGATACCATTGCAACAAAATAACGTCCCCCAGCAACACTAGACAACTGCCGGCAACAATAAATTTCCCAGCAGCCAGCATCAATAGACCCTCCTACAGCCAGCAACAATAGACCCCCTCCCTCAAGGGTAGATCCCACCCAGCAGCAATTTACCCCTCCCCCCAGTAACATAAGACCCCTCCAAGCACCTGCAAAAATAGACTTCCCCAGCAACAATAGATCCCCCAGCAGCCAGCATCATTAGACACTACAGCACCCCCTGGCCATTACACACATTCTGTGCTGGGGGTGTTAGAACGCCTCCATGTTTTTGCTGAAAAAAAGCTGTGTGTGTATATACAGTTATGTTCAAAATAATAGCAGTCAGACATCACTAACCTGATCAATCACTGTTTTTGGTAGAAATGATATTTCTACATGGCAAATAATTTACTAGCAGGTGTAGTAGAGTAATAGAAATCCAACAGACCCAACAGTCATGACATGCATGCTGCTGATTCTGTGTAATTGAATCATTAAATTGAAAGGGGCATGTTCAAAGTAATAGAGGTGTGGAGTTCTATTAGTGAGGTCATTCATTCTTTGAAAAACAGGTGCCAATTATTGCCCTTATTTAAGGAAGGAAGGCAGCAAATGTTGTACATGCTGGTTACAGTGCATTTCTCTCTGAAATTCTGAGGAAAATGGGTCGTTCCAGACATTGTTCAGAAGAACAGCGTACCTTGATTAAAAAGTTGATTGGAGAGAGGGGAAAACATATAAAGAAGTGCAGAAAATGATAGGCTGCTCAGCTAAAATGATCGCAAATGCTTTAAAATGGCAACCAAAACCTGAAAGACGTGGAAGAAAGCAAAAAAATACCATTCGAATGGATAGAAGAATAGCCAAAATGGCAAGGACTCAGCCAACAATCAGCTCCAGGAAGATGAAAGAAGGTGTAAAGTTACCTGTGAGTACTGTTACAATTAGAAGACGCCTATGTGAAGCCAAGCTATCTGCAAGAAGCCCCCGCAAAGCCCCACTGTTGAAAAAAAGACATGTGCTGAAGAGGTTACAATTTGCCAAAGAGCACATTGACTGGCCTAAAGAGAAATGGCGCAACATTTTGTGGACTGATGAAAGTAAGATTGTTCTTTTTGGGTCTAGTGGCCGGAGACAGTTTGTCAGACGACCCCCAAACACTGAATTTAAGCCACAGTACACTGTGAAGACAGTGAAGCATGGTGGTGCAAGCATCATGATATGGGGATGTTTCTCATACTACGGTGTTGGGCCTATTTATCGCATACCAGGGATCATGGATCAGTTTGAATACATCAGAATACTTGAAGAGGTCATGCTGCCTTATGCTGAAGAGGAAATGCCCTTGAAATGGGTGTTCCAAGACAACGACCCCAAACACACCAGTAAACGTGCAACATCTTGGTTCCAGACCAACAAGATTGACGTTATGGAGTGGCCAGCCCAATCCCCGGATCTTAATCCAATAGAAAACTTGTGGGGTGACATCAAAAATGCAGTTTCTGAGGCAAAACCAAGAAATAGAGAAGAACTGTGGAATGTAGTCCAATCATCCTGGGCTGGAATACCTGTTTCAGGGGCCAGAAGTTGGTTGACTCCATGCAACACAGATGTACAGCAGTTCTCAGAAACAGTGCGACTACAACCAAATATTCATTAAGTGATTCAAAGGAAAGCAAAATCTTCAAACATTTTTCAGTTATATAGTGAATGTTTGAGTTTGTAAAGAAGAATACAAACACTGCTGTTTTTTTGAACAGTCTAATATTCACTTTTCTTCAATTTTTTTAGAGGAACAAACACAAATTTGATCTATTTTTCTTCATGTTTTGATTTGGAATAGAATGTGTAGTGTTCCCAATGCATTTGTGTGTATGGAAATAAAAGCTATTAGAAGGATTTTCAGCTTTATTCACTTTTTTCAACACACTGCTATTATTTTGAACACAACTGTATATATATATATATATATATATTTTTTTTTTTAAACAAATAGGGTGAGGTCACTTCCAATTTGCCACAAGTTTCTCACATAGGGATCACATCAAAAGTGGGCTCTCACTCCACCCACTTACATATTCATCAAGAAAATGAGGATGCAATTTCCATATATTGCAATATCATTACTTGCAAATCCAATCAATCTGCATACAAAATCCAATATAAAGTGACTGTACAGTTTCAAGCTTAACAATGCTCTTCATTAAGCTGTGAACATTAACTAGTCTAAGGCTGGCCATACATTATACAATTATCTGCAGATTTTCTGCCCAATTTCCTTTAGATTTACCTTCAACTATGTAGTGCAAGGGCCTGCCTAATTGGATACAACTGAAAGTGTTGTTTAGGTTTGTCCTCCTATTATATGGTTTTTGGTAAATCTAAACCAAAAATCTGCAGATAATTGTATAATGTATGGCCAGCCTTAGTCTAAGTAAAGATACTGCAACATATGGAGATTGCATCCTCGTTTTCTTGATATATGTACACTATATTGCCAAACGTATTGGGCCAGCCCTCCAAATCATTGGATTCAGGTGTTCCAATCACCTCCATGGCCACAGGTGTATAAATCAAGCCCCTAGGCATGCAGACTGATTCTACAAACATTTGTGAAAGAATGGGTCCCTCTCAGGAGCTCAGTGAATTCAAGCATGGTACTGTGATAGGTTGTCACCTGTGCAATAAGTCCATCCATGACATTTCCTTGCTTCTGAATATTCCACGGTCAACTGTTAGTGGGATTATAACAAAGTGGAAGCAACTGGGAACAACAGCAACTCAGCCACCAAGTGGTAGGCCACGTAAAATTACAGAGAGCAGTGTCAGCGCATGCTGAAGCACACAGTGTGCTAAAGTCACCAACTGTCTGCAGAGCTAAAGACCTCCAAACTTCATGTGGCCTTCAGATTAGCACAATAACAGTGCGTAGAGAGCTTCATGGAATGGGTTTCCATGGCCCAGCAGCTGCAACCAAGCCTTACATCACCAAGTACAATGCAAAGGGTCGAATGCAGTGGTGTAAAGCACGCCACCACTGGACTCTAGAGCAGTGGAGACGTGTTCTCTGAAGTGACGAATCATGCTTCTCTGTCTGGCAATCAGATGGACGTGTCTGGGTTTGGCAGAACGGTACTTGCCTGACTGAATTGTGCCAAGTGTAAAGTTTAGTGGAGGGGGCTTATGGTGTGGGGTTGTTTTTCAGGGGTTGGGCTTGGCCCCTTAATTCCAGTGAAGGCAATTCTTAAGGCATCAGCATACCAAGACATTTTGGACAATTTCATGTTCCCAACTTTGTGGGAACAGTTTGGGGATGGCCCCTTCCTGTTCCAACATGACTGCGCACCAGTGCACAAAGCAAGGTCCATAAAGACATGGATGAGCGAATTTGGGGTGGAGGAACTTGACTGTCCTGCACAGAGTCCTGACCTCAACCCGATAGAACACCTTTAGAATGAATTAGAGCGGAGACTGTGAGCCAGGCCTTCTCATCCGACATCAGTGCCTGACCTCACAAATGCACTTCTGGAAGAATGGTCAAACCGTCCCATAGACACCCTCCTAAACCTTGTGGACGGCCTTCCCAGAAGAGTTGAAGCTGCTATAGCTGCAAAGGGTGGGCCAACTCAATATTGAACTCTACGGACTAAGACTGGCATGCCATTAAAGTTCATGTGCGTGTAAAGGCACCAATACTTTTGGCAATATAGTGTATCAGGAATATGAAATGTTGGGGAAACCTACACTTTAAATTTACTACCTGGAAAATGATCTGCTGCTCATTCCATATTATAACAGTTATAAGTGCTTGAAGAATGTTCACTGTTTTCACACTTCCACGTATTTATTTGCGGCATTTTTACCAAATCTTTTTTTTTTTACATAATCAATATGTACAAATATGAAAAAATTGCAGCTAGAAACACCAAAACCTAAACATAACTGCCTGTTGTGGAAAGGACAACTCACAGCAGCCGCAGGAGAGAAGCAACACCTGTTAGGGTAGCAGAACATGGTTTTCTTTAAAGTTGGTGTGAAAATAACGCACGTTTTTATTTTTAAATGGAGGAGGTGCTGAGAATGCAACCCCCAGCAATCAGTGTACTGCAGTCGGAAGTTTCAGCGCCAGACGTATGGCAGCAACAAGTGGCTGCAGGCTGAAGACATGTAGAACAGGGCCTTCTGTTTCATACTGTATTCAATTGTATTGTAACTACTGTCTGCGCAAACTGTTGGCCTGTATAATAATAATAATAATGTAGCACACTTCTTTAGATCACTTCATTAGAGGAAACACATTTTATTGTGCAAATGCACGAAGTTTTGGCCATACTTCAACTTTAACTCCTTCTTTCCCTTCTTCACTTAGTATTTGTTTTGCTGAGTTTTGTTTTTCAATACTTTTCAATTAAACTTTTAAAATTTGTGTTTGTATCACAAATTAAAAAAAATGCTTTGTACCAAAAATAGCATTCTGGTGCCTTTATCAAGGGAACAAATCACAGAATGAGGTTTGTAGTTAAAGAATATATAAACCCAACATTTCCTATTTCTGATATGTACCTGCTATAACATGTACAATATCCTGTTCTCTTTGTATTTCCTTCTTTGTTTGTGAAATCCCTGGTGTTCCTGCCACTACCTCTGCTTTCCAATTAAAAACTGACCACACCAGGCATGAAAGCACAGCGTAGTCAGTTGTCTAGGTGTGCTGGGAACTTAGCCTACTCTCCTCCAATGACCAGACTTGTCCTGACACCCTTCCCCCCTGCAAAGCCATTTACTGGGAAGTTCAGTGTGTTGCTAGTTCTCCTCCCCCAGCTTTTACACAGCTAGGAACAGAGGGTATGTGATCACTTATAAAAAAAAGAGAAACAGTTGTCTATAATGCTTTTTATGTCTACACAAATGTTTTTCCTTTCATTTCTATTTTAAATTGAATGGGTTGTTTTACAAGGTGGGAGTTTACATATACTTTAACCCTAATTGTTTTTTAACCCTACAATTTGTTGTTCAATTCTAACCCTCTCTTATTTCTATTCAGTCTGTTTTCCCTTCCCTTTAGTTTTTTTTTTTTATTGTTTTATATTCATGTTCATTTTTGTAGCCCTGAATTGAAGATCTTGGGATGAGGTGATTGTAGCCGTATTAGTGCATTTGCGACAGAAACAATTGAGTACTGTCCGTGATACTTTTTTTTATTTGCACTAACATACAATTTTGAGGACAAGCTTTCGGGGAGTGTCCCCTTCTTCAAGGTCTAAGCAGTACCCTAAGTAGAGTACTGCTTAGACCTGGAAGAAGGGGACACTCCCCGAAAGCTTGTCCTCAAAATTGTATGTTAATACAAATAAAAAAAGTATCACGGACAGTACTCAATTGTTAAGATCTTGGGATGACACATGTTGGCATCCTCAACTTGGGTGACAGAGAACCTTGTCCTGGTACTGCTCGATAGATTCAAGGGTCTATTTACAATAGGTACACTTTAACAATATAAAAAAAAAAATACTACAATTTCAGATGTAAAATAAAAAAACAAAAATAAAAATGAACACATAAAATAAAATAATACAATAAACTAATAACACATAATAAGTAAAAGTAAATACATAAAATAAAATTAAAACATAAAATAACATATTAAAAATGAATACATAAAATAAAATAACAATAATATTATAAACAAAATGAATACATAGAAAACAATTAATATGTAAAATAAAATAATAAAAAAATAAATAAAAAGAAAGCTGCCAGTAGTCCTTATTTCTGTTGCCGCTCTCCTGAACATGTCAGAGCTGGACCTGCTGACACCTTTGAATTTAGATAATGGTTGCGCTATGCCAGGACACTTCTGCTCTTGCTAGCTTCAGCTGCCTATAGCGGAAAGCCTTTCTGAGCCTCTAGCCTGCTCTCCATCTGCTCCATGTATCACAAACACATTGACATCAGCTACAAGACACTTCCCAAGTCATTCTTATTCTTCCAGGCCTAGTCCGGGACACGAGTGGTCCTCTTTCAACACGTCTCCTGATCTATTGCTTCCGTCCCGTCTGGGGCTGATGGAATTACCCTCACTCCGCACAAAATAAGATAATGCTTGCACATTTCTTGGAAGGGAATGGATCAATCATATTAGCAGCCAATCTCCAGGGAAGAGGCTGCTGGAATTAAGATCTCCATTGTCAAGTGAAAGAGAAGATAGCAACAGGCAGGCGAATTTAAAGGTGGCCAAACCCAGGTGGCTAGCATAGGACTATACTGAGAAGACACCAGACATGGCGTTGTTGCTTTTATTATGTTGGCGGTTTTTTGAGGATAATCAGTCTTTCTAGTGTGAAAAAAAACTTAGGATGTCAGTAACTTGGTATACTGGGATTCCCAACTACACCCATCAGAAAAGCCTTCTTGCATGGTTGCCATGACACAATGTAAAAAAAAGTCCACTCTAAAAAAAAGATGATTGGAGGGAAGAACCCAATCCTGCCTTTCATAACCTTTATAACATGGAGAAACACTTTGAAAACCTTTCCGGGTTTAGGAAACCCATGCTGACAGTTATTAGGTCTTCAACAACATTAGCATGATGGTCTGTAGAAAAAATGCTCCTTACAGTGGTGGTTCTTTGGAAAGAAGTCCTCACTTACAGATAGTTAAAAAGATCACTGGTGCCAGTGGGAACTTATCTGAGAGCCAGAAGTTGCTTATTGCTCAAGGAAGCCTTAGCAACATTTGGAGAAACCCTAGCTGAGAAAGGCTGCCCCAACCAATCTTGTGCCCCTGGACAATGTCTGTTGTGACGAAACATGTTGGGCAGAGCTTAGCATGAACAACGGCATTCAGCTGTACTGATATGCTGTTTCCTTTTCTTTATATGTGATTACCCTTCTGTTTGAATAAATTTAATAGCAATTCATACTACACTACAGGAGTTTCTCTACTCTATTCCCCATGTTGATTACCCTCTGGCTTCATTTGTATGGTGATTGGGATGAGCGAAGATGTTGGTTGCACTACTCCTGAATAACCTTGGTGTAATTAAGCTTTTAGGACCTCCTTTTATCTGGGGTCTTAATCTCTGGTAAGTTGCAATTGTGTGCAATTGGTGGTGGAGCACAGAAGTTTTGACACTGAAGACTCACGCAGATTGTGATGGGATGTTAATTTTTTTGTGTGTGTTTTATCTTGCTCTTACACGATCGAAGTGCGATATGTTTATTATTTTATTGCAGTTTTCTTGTAATTTTTCACTTGCACTATGATTTTGTTATGCACCTTAATATGCATTTTGTATTTTTGGTGTTATTTGCACACATATTTTATTTTCATATTTTGTTAAAGGGACAGCACAGCACATTTCTTCATTACTTTCTGTCTGAAAGTGGAATGTTCCTTTAAGTTGCATCATATTGGTTAACCAGTGTCTTGCATTACACCGTGCTGGATGTAATTACCCCGTTCCGTCTTGTAATCAGAGAGTGACCTAACTCACCACTGGACAGAAATCAGTAACACATTTCCAAGCCAACATCAACACATCTCCGTATTGTTCTTCTTTGTATTAAACAAAACTCGATTTCAATGTAATAGCTTAATGAGCTTGCGTTTGGCACTATAACAATGCTCCGTTCTCCTGTTCTTCTCTCCATCATTTTTTACGGTTAAAATACAACGCCATTACTTTTAAATGCATTTTTTGTATGTACTATTTTAAATTTCTTTACTTTATTTTTGTATATTTTATTTCAAGGAAAACTCAATTTTCATATTAAAAATAAAAAAGAAAACATATACATTGGCAACATAAGCCATTTTGTGATCATGTTATGAAAACAAATTTAGAATTTTTATTAGCCATAGGGTGGTAATGGATGAAAA